TGCTCTCAGATCTGCACTCATTTCTATGCAACTAGATGAGTAATGACCAGTGTCATTCCACTTGATGGAAAAAAAAGGTGTATATCTGATGAATCACTGCTTAAAGACTTAAAGATTTTGATCTCTTTAGCTCTTCTTGTATTATTAATTATACACAGAGACCCATTCTCTTCACAATTTGTTTCTATTGATGCTCCAGCTCAGAGATCTTACTACAGTTGCTGCTATGTAATGGCTTTTTTTGTTTGTCAGTTGTTTTTATTTTTATTTTTAGGGGGAAAATTGTGTTTTTTTACATACAGGTATGTTGTGTAGAGAGACAAGTTTTTTTTTCAGAAACCACTAATACTTTAATTCAGTTGAAGATCATTTGTACATACACATAGCCCATATGCTATCCACACCTAGTCAACACTGTAGTTACACTCAGCTGTAATTCTGGGATTTTATTTTAATAAATGCAATCTCAGTCTGGAAGCAACTGGAATTGGGCTGTAAATGTCAGGAAACATCAGGAGTCTCGATTTCCATCCAATGGTGTTGAGTCACATTTTCGAAATTATGTCTTCCCTAAAAGAAGGCAGGCACTTACCTGGAAATTACGCTTACTCAATGTTAGTAAAAACAACATGACTGAGAAGACATTTTTACTGCATTTTTCCCCTCACTGACATGCATCTGACAGACACTTTTATCCAAAGCGAAGAATGTAATGTAAACATAGAGAATAAGTGAGCATTTGAAGGTTAAGGGCTTTGCTCAAAGGACTAAGTGGCTACCTGGAACGTACAACCTTCCAGTAACTAAGACAGAAACTTAACAAATAATGTGATGGGAAGCTAAATAGTAGACACCAACAGACTGGGACAATCAAGCATATGAGTCCTTGAAGGAGAATGCAAAAGTAATTGACTCAGCATTGCAGAGCTGCACAATAAGAGCACTGCCAAGCAGCAAAATTTTAAGCAGAATCTTAGTAAAAGGACACTCGCATCCTTGGGAGTGATGGAAGGAGTATTTTATGCTTTATAACATTCCTTCAAGAAAGCACTTTTGGTACTCTATGCCCTGCATGAAGTCGTAGACCACAGTCACGTTTTTTTCCCTGGAAGTCCACCAAGAAGTTTTTACATTAACGCTCGCGGTTTGCAACCATCCAAACAGGGGAGAACCACAGGAACATGCCTGGGGTTAACCGAACACAAGTTACCTCACCCATATTGCAAATGCAGCATCATAACTCTGATCAACATCGATACTCAGCAGACAAGTTCTAGCTGACTTGTAGTTCCACACACAAAATGACCACCATCTGTAGAACCAAATGCATCTATAGAACCCAAAAAAAAAAATCACAGAGAGTTGAGATATCTTTTTGATCTGACCGAGTTTGCCGGTATACAGTAGACGAGCTCCCACAGTGGGTGACCACACTGATTAGTGTTTCGCAGCAGGGGAGCGTCTCTTCCTCCACTGAGGGGTCTAATCTAGTCTGCCTGCTATATCAATCCCAGACAGCTAGCATTACACCCACACTGGCCTCCCAGTACAGGCTCAATAACCCAAGGCTGAGCTGTTCTTAAGGCCTAAATGGGAAAGCCAAGAACTTTGGATGAACCCCAGTCAATGGTATTGGGTGATCTGACGCACATGTGTCTGAGTCCAGGGGCTGCGCAACAATAGATCCAATAAATGATCGAAATGATCAAAATGTTTTTAGAGAAGAAATCAGGTAACTGTAAATTTGTTGCAAGAAATTGACAAAACAACTTCCCCTGAATATTCACTGTGAGGGTTTTGTCAGGTTCGACCGTACACATGCAGGCTCTGACATTTTCAGCAACTTAAACAGAAGTACCTCGACATGCTACAGTGAGACCACTGTGCTTACTAGACTAGAACAAAAATACACAACCTCATCCGGACAGCATACCTGGGACCAAGAGGATTTGTTTCCACACATTCTTTACAAGGTGTAGGAATTAGCAATGGGTGGATCAAAAATGAAATATCAATACTTTCTTCTTTTTTTTTTTTTTTTTTTTTCAAAAAACTATCCTAATATAAGAATAATAAAAATATAATTGTGTGCTCAATACTGTGTGATTTCTTCTCGGACAGAATGTGAAAATGAAAATGTTGCAGGATGTAATGTTGATGTGCTGTATAAGAACTGCCGCTTCTTCCTCCGTCTACACATACACATCCTCACGCGTGCATGCGCTCAGACATGAACGGGAAAACGTTTTGTAAGTGATATAGTTTATTTCTGTAATTAAACAGGACCCAAACCCAAACTGGACAGTCTCTATTTCTTTATTTCACATACACTCACTGACCAGTCTATTAGTAACGCCTGCTCATTCAGGCAACTCACGTGGCAGGGCAATGTATAAAATCATGTCGATACAAGAAAATAGCTTCAGTTAATGTTCACATCACATATTAGAATATGGGAAAAGTGAATTTGACCATAGCATGGTTGTTGGTGCCAGATGGGCTGGTTTGAGTAGTTCAGAAATTGCTGATCTCCTGAGATTTTCACACAGAACGGTCTGTAGAATTTACACAGAGTAGTGAGGAAAAGCAAAAGGGCATCCAGTAAGCTGGAGCTCTGTGGGTGGAAATTCCTTGTTGATGAGAGAGGTCAAAGAACAATGAGCAGACTGGTTTGAGCTGACAAGAACTCAAATAATCACTATTTACAACCATGGTAAGCAGAAAAGCATATCAGAATGCATAACATGTCAAACCTTGAGGAGCATGGGCTACAACAGCAATAAGGCCACATCGGGTTCCACTCCTGTCCGTCAAGAAAGGAATCTGAGGCTACAGTGGGCACAAACTCACCCAAGCTTCACAGGTGAAGACTGGAAAAAGACCAGGTGATATTTGTCTAATCTTCAACTGTCCAGTTCTGATGTGTTCAGGTGTACAGGTGCTCCTAATAAAGTTGTCAGTGAGTGTATATTTCTAGATGTCCATTTCTGCAAATTCTCACTGCAGATATACACGTCTTATTTACACAAGAGGCTCAGGATACTACTTGTAGTCTTGGTATTAGATTGAGGAATCTCTATACACCTTTTAATTCTATATGATTTTGAGCCAGGGTGCGATTTCAAAACAATCCTTTTTCCATTCTGATGATTCTTGATTTATTTTCATAGCCCACATTAGTATGACCACTCGCAGCTATTCAAACAGAATATCATTTCCAAGCATAATACAATACACTGGGCAAAATGTATCATATTTGTTTATAATAATAGGCATAGTATTGTTGACATTTTCTAATTACATAGAAAACATTTATAAGCCTATGAAAAAATGACGTTTTGACATTTTAAGAAATCGGTATGTTTGTGAAAAAAAGAAAGAGAAAGAAGGAGAGAATAATTCCTGACTCAAATCCGAATAGTGAATCTACAGCATCTATTAACTTTGAGAGAAATGCAGAAAAGTAAGAGATACAGTGAGAGAGGATGGTGATCTTCACCTGGACTACTGTCTTAGAAACAAGTGGTCCAGCTGGCATCTAACGGTGTTCAGTTTCTCTCTCTAGAAGAACTCCTTAAAGGTTTATTGTAGAACCCTACATCAGCGGGGCTCTCTTTATTAAAAGTTTCCACCAAGGCTAGAATAGTTAACTATCTAAATAATCACAGAGAAACCAATGTATGTATATGGGATGGATACCAATGATGCCAGTGAAGCCAATCACGCCAATCACATCAGCACCGGACTTGGATCAGGAGATAAAACAGGGACTAGGTTCACAGTGCAAATGTCAAAATGTCCATCAGTCAAACTGATCTCAGGTCAGCTTTCCATCCCTGTGATACATAAGCAGCAGTTCATCAAAACTTACTAACACTGGCTTAATATCCTTCAGTCTTACCTGGCCTTGAGAAAGCATTACATGTGAAGCTGCAGAACCACAATGCAGAAGATTCAGAACCACTGGTATAACCCAGTAATGTACACTTTAAATTCTAATCTCATCTCATCTCATCTAACAGCACATGGGTCATTCAATAAGAGCAATACATATATATATGTGTATATATATATATATATATATATATATATATATATATATATATATATATATATATGTATGTATGTGTGTGTGTGTGTGTGTGTGTGTGTGTTCAATCAGATGACTAGCAGAAAAAAATGGAAATCAGAAGATTCGTACCTTGATTATCATCATCCATGCTTGCTGCTAAATGAGACGGTGAGATAACAAAAAACGGATAAATACAACGTTCCGAGCCAGATGGCTGTTGCAGTGTCGCTTTTTACGTGGAAGGCTGCATTTACAGGCGGCTCGCATCACCCGCACACACACGCACACGCACACACACACGCACACACACACGCACGTCTGGTCTCGTGTGAGACTCGGACCAAAAATTAGTGCTCAGTGCTCGCGAGACAGTCTTATCCCTGTCCGGTGTGAATGGATGAAAAACCTCTCGGTCCACTTTTTCACTGGTGCTGCTTAAATCATTCGGTGAAGTGATGCTCCCTCTCCTTCCTGCCCACCGACACTGACATCTGGTTTTCACGGCTTCGCTGAAAGTGCTTCTTTCACACCGGTTTTAAGGTAAATCTTGCCTCCTGTGCTACGACTTGCTAGTGGTTCATACTCCGAATCAGCCGAGCCAATCAGAATCGGAGGACTGCGTGCGCGTGTGAGCTTCTAACCAATCGCAGTGTGAAAGGTGGGATTTGTAGGAATACGGGTGAGGAAAATGAAATACTACATTACAGCTGCCCTTGGTACGTCATCACACTCTGTCCCGCCCTTCTGGCGCTCACGTGACTCATCGTGTGGTAGGCCAACATTGCTGCTGTGTGGAGATCAGTCATTTCATTATTATGACAGTGCAAGGTGGAGTTAGCAAACGTTGAGCCATTTACCCCGAATAACCTCTTATGAAAAAGGAATGGATCCAAAATTTACAAGTTGATTACTGATTACTGATTAGGGGGGCATGGTGGTTTAGTGGTTATCACTGTAGCCTCACACCTCTGGGATTGGGGGTTCATATCCCACCCCTGCCCTGTGTGCGTGGAGCTTGCATGTTCTCCCCGTGCTTCGGGGGTTTCCGCCAGGTACTCTGGTTTCTCCCCCAGTCCAAAGACATGTGTTGTAGGCTGATTAGCATCTCTAAATTGTCCAGAGAGTGTGTGTGTGTGTGTGCGATTGTGCCCTGTGATGGGTTGGCACCCCGTCCAGGGTGTCTCCTGCCTTGTGTCCTGAGTCCCCCTGGGATAGGCTCCAGGTTACCCTGTGACCCTGTGTAGGATATGCGGTATGGAAAATGGATGGATGGATTACAGATTATTAAAAGATGTTAAATTGTGATTTACTTAACTTATCATCCGTGTGGTACTGTTAAAGTTAAACTTTAAATCAACTATGTGGTACTGTTAAACTTTAAACTCGCCACCACTCTTTCAGAGGACTAGGCAGTGTGAAAAGAGCCCACTGAGGCTTTGTTTGGATTAGTTCAAAGTGATGAGCCAGCCCCACATACAGAAGATACTGACATAAACATAAACTGAAAAAAGTTATAAATTGAACATACAGGAGAAAGAAAAAGAAACAAAGAAAGATTGTTAAAAATGGAGGAAAAGTAAACACAGTAAACATATCCTTAAGGAAAGGAGTCGGAAGCGACGAGACAATCTTCTTCGCAGGTGCTGTCAAAATCCCATCCAGATGGTACCAGATGAAAAGTGGTACTGGAGCAACACCCAGGCGACCTGGTGAGAATCGACCAAAGAAAAAACTCGTACTTTGTATTAGGGAAGTGTGGAGCTACTAGTACAGGCTTTGCCATTGAGTCATGTGGCTGCTGAAAATGTACAAAATCCCTGCAACAACAGCAAGCAGGATGGATGAAAAAAGTGAAAAACTCTTACATCCGAAAGTGACTCCCGAGATGCCTCTCAGAATAGGCCTCTTTGGGAGGAACTACAACCCATCAGCCTAGGGTACATGCAAAAAAAAAAAAAAAAATTAAAAAGCCTGACTAGTCCTGGAGCTGAGAGGGTCCATGTATCCACCAGTTAGGGGGGTTGATGCCCAGGTGAGCACCAGCCATAAGTAGAAGGCCCAAGAGGAAGTGGACCAATCAGCAATCAGCAGTCTTCATCACCAGTAAGTCATCATCAGGGTCCAGACAGAACGCACCAGGCTGGATTTGGGAAGAAACTCTGCAGCTCTGTTCAAAAGCCAACAGAAAACAGAGAAAGGAGTTGGTCATGGAACAGGTGGCAAGGGTGGAGGAAGAGTGGAGTAAGATCAAAGCTGTGTCTCAAGGGCAACACTGTTGTGATTCCCAACCTTGTCCCCCAACCTCCCCAGTGGTTCAGCACAGAGGATAGTTGTAATGAATTTGTTGTAATGTATTTCTCTAACACATTGTTACAGGCTGCAAGACCATGCTAAGTGTGATACAGGTGGTGACACAACCAGGTCCTGAGGAAACTATCAGAAGTGTTGGAGTTCAGCAAGCAGGAGGTGAACAGATACCATGAAGCTAGTTCATTAAGAAAGGTGGGAGAGCTGAAAGCGCCAAACCAAGAGCCCTGACATGACTCTTCACCCCTGGAAAAGAGCGGGAGATGAAGGTTGATCTTGGCACCCAACTCCAGTTCCCCTAAGAGATCACCCCAATATCACTCCAAGCCTGACATAAAGGTGAGGTCCACTTCAGCCTAAACAGTGTTCTTCATTGAGCTGACTGTCCCATGGGAGGACGAAGTGGAAGCCACTTACGTGAGGAAGACTTACGAGGGCTAAATATTCAGAGCTGGCTGCTGAGTGCTGGGTGGCTGGCTGCAGGGATCCAGTGGAGGTCAGATGTCCAGGCTTCATCCGCTCCTCTTAGGAACATAAGGGTTTTGGAGCCAAGCTGCAGGAAGCAGGAAGAGAGCTGGCAGAGGAGGTGGAGAAGGCCTAGCTTTTTGCTGTGCTCCCCTGGCTGATGACACTGCAGCTGGCCAACAGGGCACTTGTGGAGGTGCATCATGGCAAAGATGCCCAGCAGGTATCAATATCTACATCTCTACATTGCATGGAGAGATTGCTGGTGGAAATGTTGAACAGTCTGAACAGTTACGACAGTATAGGTATTATGGCTGTGTTGTTCATGCTTGTGTTGTTGCATAGGATCCATTATGTTTGCATGACTGTGAGTTATGCATGTTCTTTTTGTGACTCAATGGCTTCAATATACAGTATATCCAACAAAGTATTGTACATATTTAAATATTTTGCCTAACATTTAAATTGTTTGATTATGTTCATAAAATGAGGGGGTCTACGAAATTCTTTTTACAGTTAAAGGGGTCCCTGACTGTAAAAAGTCTGAGAGGCCCTGATCTAGGCTACCTAAGTCTTTAGACATGACTGTAAAAATCGACAGGACTGCTGAAAAGTCAGCTCGACTTGCACATAATCATTGCTCGTATAAATTAAAACATAAATATATTGGCTTTGAATGAACAAATTGAAGCATTAATGTGTTATGTGAATATGTTAATATTAATTTATATAATCTATATTTTACCTATTTAGATACATAAAGTTCTACTTCTAATATAACACAAACAAATACCTTAGTGCTCTGCAGCAATAAATGTCAGGGACCTTAATGACGTGTGTGTGTGTGTGTGTGTGTGTGTGTGTGTGTGTGTGATCAGAGGTTTTAGTGTAGCTAGCTTTCGAGGGGTTGCTTGTCAGCGCAGTTCATCACATTTAATAGTTAAATGGATATCACAAAGATTAAACTTTCCATTCACATAAACCAACAGTGAGATCTGGATCAGTTTAAACACTGCTTAATATGCTGTTTATACAGCACCATTATTATTATTCTTATAAATGATAGTCTGGGTTACTTGAGTGCACTAAACTTAACAGATAGTTCAGAGGATAGACTCCTCTGTCCTGGAACTGAACCACCAAAACTGACTCTTTAATCTGAAGTCTGAACCACTGACGCCAAGTGAGCTTTTTGCCTGCTTGGAAATTTGAATATTGAGGTCACATATAATAGACGTGTGGAAAATAAGATAAAGAATCGGCACCAGGACTATATTCCTCTCATAATCATAAAGAACAGAGGGTGATGGTAGTGAGCTGCATTAATACTACTGCCTGCAGATTCTTGCACACAAGGATTCAATTATAGCATTCCAGCTTTTCAGATGCAGGGGTTGGGGGGTTGGTTGTGGGTGAAAGGGGTGTCTAGGTCCCTTTCAGTTCCGGACAGAATTGGGTGATTTAATGTAGCTTATCTTTGTTTCTGATTAGATTTAGGACACACAAAAAATGCCATTACAGCATTTCAGGTGAGATTTGGAGTGGAGTGCAGCCCAGCTGATGGTTCTAAATGGTGATCAATTTGAGCATGAGGAATCTCTTTTCCTTTTGTTTTTTTATGGCAAGTGAATTCAGGTACAAAGGACAGAGAAATATTTTTAGATTTAAATCTTTTTTTCTTTTTTTTTTTTTTTGCCAGACAGTCTGTCCTCTTCATAACAAGCCTATTATGGGAATAGTAATGCTGGATTTCTGGTGGATGTTTAATTGTTTATCACAAAACCAAGTCCTGAACCAAGACTGTAGATTGAATCAAAAGTTCCAAAGCTTTCTGACTCCGAGTTTCTGCCAGATCATGTCAGAAAAATATCTAAAAGAAACCTGGAAGCTCTTTCCTAGAGTTAGCAAATATGTCCATTGGCAGAGTGGGAGTTATAAAGAGAGAGGGAGAGTTTGGGAATTCGGGGGTGGCTCCAGTTTGGGGGAGTATTTCCTGCTCAGAAAGCAGATGTCTGGCCCACTCCAGGAATCTCTCTGTTTTCTTAGTTTTCCCTTTTTTCCCCACATTCCTTGGGTGTGGATGCTTTCAACAAAAATGGCAAGGTCATCTAAAGAAAAAGTCAGCACTAGTATATCATTGCTTTAAATATGTCCAAAATGTTATATCTGTTGTGTCTGTTTCTCTCAGTAATGGGCTTTGGAAAAGGGTATGTCACTTCTGGAAGGGGTTTTAATTGGAACTCTCTTTGATAGGGAAAACATTGTAGCAAGGTTCTGCAAAGAACCTTTAAGGGCGAACCTCAGAATATCCAGAAGGACATTCTGAACACTTTAGGGTTTTTGATTCAACTTTTTCTAAGATTGAATGAATTGAGTTGCACTGAATGAAATCTGCACTATATTTCTCTCATTTCCTCTCTCTGTCTTGATCTAACCTAAAACAATTTATTTGCTATGAAAATGCAAATGGATTATGGTAATCATCTAAATGAAAAAAAAAAAAAAAAACACCACCACAATATTAACCCTTTATGGTCCTTTCCAGATCCTAAGGCTTATTATCCAGTTCAAGGGAAACAATTCAAAATTATCAAGCTAATATTACATTATTAATGCGAGGAATAGAAGTGTAGAAGCATTCATTGTTCCTTAGAATTTAGGCCCCTTGGATAAACTGCTCACATAATGGTAGAACTGCCATTAGCTTTCCTCAGGCTTAACAAATCACTAGCAAGAGGTCACACACAATAGCTACCATTATTCCTAATGACAAAAGCTAAAACAGTACAGTGCTATACAATGAAATTCCCTCCACAATGCACCTCATCCTTTGCCGCCATCACCAAATTAATGTGTATATGCGTGAAATGTATCACATGGCTTTGCCAGAATGCACTTAGCAGCATGCCGAGGGCTGGCACCTCTGGGGCAGCATGTGTCTGTCTGATTATGGAGTCAGACAGAGAAGATGGACACACGCTGACCGACTTCTCGCAGCCTGAATGAGTAACTGGAGCATCCCTGTACCACGCATATGCTCCAGTCGCCCCAGTCAGATGACCCCCCTTTCCCCTCCCCAAGGCCAAAAGCTCCAGATTCAACCAGGTCAAATGTAGCGCACCCTCATTTGCCATGAGACACACCACATGTTGTGGTTAAAAACATTTGTTCAGTTTATACCTATGAAAAAAAAAAAAAAAGGTAGACGTGTTTGCCTCTTAACAAGCTG